CACGTGCCACGATGTGCACAGCCACTGACGTGGGTAACAGGGGTGTGGCGGGCTGCTTTTTTCTTTTCTTTTTGGCGTGCATGCGTGAGAATGCGTAGGCATGCGGAGCGCGGGAGAATGGGTCCAGATGCGTGAGTCTCCCGCGAAATGAGCAGCGTGAGACTTAGTAGGTCTGCTAACAGAGTAAGATTTAAACTAAAGGATGAGATTTTATTTTCGGGGTGCATCAAATGCAGTCTAAGACATTTAAATGTTTTAAATTTTGCTGGGGGAGACCCCCAGTACCTCCTCTACCTCTCTCACCCGCGTCTGCCTGCAGAATCCACATTCGTGCTACTGCACGCCTTTGAATCCATCATGTGCGTTTTTCCCCAAACTGGGCATTACCACCGTTGTCTAATTTTCCCTCAGAGAAAAACCCTGGTGTTTAAAAAGGGACTGTCTCCACACACGGCATGGCACGGCACGGCAACGACGCTGGCAAAGTCAACAACGATTTTTACTACGCGTGTGCGTGCACGTCGTGTGCGTGCGTGGCGTGCGTGTGCGTGCGTGTATGTGTGTGTTTGTGTGGTACTGTGTGTGAGGTACTGTAAAAAGTAGTAAAACTGATAAGTACTAACTGGGGAATATAGTCAGCTTTTATGAGCAGCTAATTTTTCTGGTTCAATAGCATCCCGAAGTTACAAAAGTAGTAGAGTATATATATGCATGTGCTGTGAAAACTCTTCTGTAAACTATTAGTATTACTGTAAATAACTATAGTGTGTGTATAGTACTGTCTATACTGTACTGCGCGCGTGCGTGCGTACGTGCGTGCGCGTGCGTGCGTATTGTGCGTCAGGTACTGTAAAAAGTAGCTGTTTGTGACCCTACATCCACAACAGTTGATGTGGAGAGGGGTTTTAGCAGACATAATTTGGTTAAAACAGCTCTGAGAAATAACCTGAAACAGAAAGTGTTTGTGACATTCTAAACCATCAAATTGAAGGCCAGAAGAAGAGATGTTTGACTTTAAAAAGTGCTATGTCCAGTGGTGTGCCAAAAAAGATGAAAATTTTCCTGCCAGCAGTGAAGAAAAAATTCAGACAATTTGAATGTCTCTGTCAGTCAGTCAGAGTCATGGTGGTGAATTGTATGTTAGTGTCTCAGTCATAGACAGGTGGTGAATAATAGTTTGTGTTGCATTAAATAAGTGTAGTTTTGTACTTCACGCATATAAAAGTTTGTGAAAAAATAAAAAAAGAAAAATTATTTTCGCCTTTTTGTGTTCAGAAAATGTTAGGCTACAATGTGGCTAACAGGAATCCAAATTGGCTAATGGAAATTGATTCTGGCTAATTGTTTGGCTACAGGAACAAAAATCTTAGCTAGGGCCCTGGACTAGTTAATGAGAAGATCCCTGCAATGACAACCAGCAGTCTCTTGATGTCAGCAATCAATGGATGGGTAGTCAGCGTCATTTATTCTTTGCCTTTCTTTCTACAGGGACGATGTGCTTCGAGCCATAGGGAAGTTGAAGAATCTTGGAAATGGATTCTCCATTATACCTATAGGTAACACCTACCTTCGTGCAGTCCATTCCGGAGAATTGAACATGGATCACACAATGCTACTCCAGCAGGCACAGGTAATAAATTTGAGGCTTACAGTCAGGTGGGTAGAGGAGAGGGCGGTCTTAATTGTGTGCAGAGGATCACGGATGGTCAAGTCAGGCAGCTAGAGAAGAGTGCAGCCAGGTGGGTGGAGTAGGATGCAGTCAGGTGGTAGGAGGAGCATGCAGCCAGGTGGTAGGAGGAGCATGCAGCCAGGTGGTAGGAGGAGCATGCAGCCAGATGGTAGGAGGAGCATGCAGCCAGGTGGTAGGAGGAGCGTGCAGCCAGGTGGTAGGAGGAGCCATGGCAGCCCCAGGTGGTAGGAGGAGCATGCAGCACAGGGTAGGAGGAGCATGCAGCCAGGTGGTAGGAGGAGCTGCAAGCCAGGTGGTAGGAGGAGCGTGCAGCCAGGTGGTAGGAGGAGCGTGCAGCCAGGTGGTAGGCGGAGCGTGCAGCCAGGTGGGTGGAGTAGGATGCAACCTGGTGGATAGACATGCCCAATTCTAACAATTTAAACACAAATCATTAACATTATTCCTCCCTTTTAAAAAGAAAGCTACAGCTGGTCATTCAGCTATGTTGTAATCAACTGCTCTCACACAGCTAACTAAATCAAGAGCAGAAAATTTACAATTAAGAGGAATTTGTCTATTATCTACTCTTGACGATTCGTAGCATTTCTACGCAGTAAAATTAAAATTTGCTAGTTCATGCTCATGATAAAATGCCCTATGAATCAGCCAAGAATGTAATTTGGTTTTGGGTTAACCGGGC